ATTTATATATAATTTATAAATTAAAAAAAATAAAAGAAAGGGGGGGGGGGGGGGGGGGGGGAGTTTGTGGGGCCTAAAACCTTTGCGCTAGTGGCTTTGGCCTTGAGCTGGCTAAGTAACCTAATCATACAAACTGTAGCCCACCAACATCAGATGGCGCACCAGAATCCGGTACTGGAAGTCCTTGAAGAGGACATGGATAGGAGCTTCAAAGATGGTAAGTGGAGAATCTAGCTTCCCCCTTAGTCTCAAATATAACCAATGAATTACAACTGAAGCCTCTCTTGAATCGTAATTGCCCAAAAATGGAGTGTTCTTTAGATCCGATCTAGGGCGAAACTTTGGAGATTGTGAATGAGATTATATATATGTATGTTTTGATCGAATTAGCTCCAAGAATAAAACACAGTAAATTTTGGAGATCGTGAATGAGATTAGATATTCATATGTTCTGATCAAACTAGCTCCTTTTTAATGATCCACCTTTATACAATTCTGAATGACTCAACTTGTTTGTAGCATGTAAAGCCACACAACTAATCATTGTAATCACACCCACAAGGGTGAGTACGTTTAACTTATCAGAAGAAAAACAGATACCAAAAATGTTTTTAATGAAATAATTTAAAAACATTCGTGTTTACCAATTCTCAAAAAAAAATTAAAAACATTTCATTGCAGCAGTTGTAGCATTGACCAGCATTTTCTCCGATCCCTGTTGGGATATATGTAGCATTTGATAAACAATTGTCATCAGGAATAAGTAGGGATTTTTTCTCTTATCCTGCTGGGGAAATATTGATACTCCTTTCTTTTGTTGTTGTAGGCTGCGTAGATCCAAAAGTTCTACTTGAGCTCTTCTCTGTATATCGCCAGTGGCAAGAGGAGAAGGCCCAGAAGATCTGTAAAAGACAGGTTTGCTCAATCATTATCATGTTCTTCTGGTCACTTAATGCTTCAGTAGCCATTTTCCAGTGTGGTAGTGGTTCCATCCATAGAAAGTGTGGATCTAGAACAGTCTAAAATGTATGTTTGTATAAGTTTGAGTTAGACTGTATGTAATTACACAAACCATTCTATTCTTAATGCATTCACTAGTCTCAAAACATGGTCGCCTGTGAGTCATTTCTTAGTAACACACACACTCACACACACAGAGGGGCGGGAGGAAGGAAATTATGAGTATCCTTTTGAGTCAAAGCTGTGGTCTGAATTTGTATGGAATTTTTGCAAGTAAATAAAGGTCAAATAGTTCAGATAACTACTGTTAGCCGTTTTGGGCCAGCAATGAGGTGGCTTATCGCCCCAATCTCTCCCAAAGGAAGTAAAACATAGTCATCGTGTTCACCAAAGAAGTTGCATACATGCTCAAAGTTGTTTAGTAGTTATTTGATCCTTATTATGTTTACTATGTAGAAGTGGCTGACTAGATTGATTTGGGTTCTCTAAAACTTGATTCCAACTTTAATATGTGTAAAGGAACAGCTGCCTCAAAAAAATAATTCTATCTGATTATTAGATATTCCCCAACTTTTCAGGCATATATATTTCCTGAAGTGAGTTGCTAAAATTAAATGCCCTCTGGATCAGTAGTAGACAATATCCTTTTGAATCAGTAATTGCCCATCAATCATCATCACACTGACCTTTCAAAGGGTGGGAAAAGATTTTACAAGGTTTATTTTTGTGTTTGATTGTAGCTACATCATTATTTCTCCCATCATACGTTGGTCGAGAATTGTCTTGCCACATCCCATAGTATGGCTTGTACTATACAGATGGTTGTATACCATTTATAAAGTGTGCTTCCCTGTGACTAGAGTTTAAAGTTAATAGTCAATTTGGTGGTGGTTTTTTCGACACTAGGATTTTGAAGCTCTGTTCAGTACATTAAGTACTATGTTCAAGGTGTTAGCGTACGTATGCTAGCATGTTGAAGCTCTTCATCATATTTACAAGCTTGTGTTGTTTGTTGTGGTTCTTCTTCATGTGAAAAGAAGAGCTCATATATCTTTTTAAAGTAGATTCCTTGGATAATTGCTGCAGGAAGAAATAGAAAACAAAATAGAAGTTGCAGATGCATTGGCTGTTAAGCTTCTTCAACGCTTCAATTACTCTGTTTCCGCAATGAAAACAACCTCACAGCATCTATCAGAAGGTATTTTAATAGCCAATCTCGGAAAGCAGAAGAGAAAAAAAATGTCCGTCGGGATAACTAGGGCTACTGTAGTGTGGAGCTTTAGAATAAAGTTAAATGTTTGTCCTTGTGATATCTGATTCCCATTATTCAAAAATCTAGCAAGCTAATGCTGTTTTTTTTTAACTCAATGTTTGAATTGCACGCAGTACATGGTTTGCAGGTTGAACTTGGAGTGTTGAAAGGCAGGTTGACAGAGGTAATCAGTAATTGTGATGCATTGTGCAAGAGGATTGATGCAGAGGGACCAGAATCGCTGCGATCATCTATCAAACCATTTACAACAGCTTCCTCTGATACAGAAAGCAATAGCAGCAGCATGCATACTCTGCAAGGTAAAGCAGATGAAAAGCAATAGTGCCGAGGCCTCTCTTTGGAGCTTATAAAATGTTTCTATACCCCCGGTGTACATTACTTGTTTGAGCATTAATGACCCATACTTGTATCTAGTCCAACTGACTGATAGTTCAAGGCTTCAAGCACACTTGGAAATTGATTGCACAGGAAACATAGTCGGGAAATTAATTTCATAGCAAGCATGTGGATCGACTTCTCAGCTAGTATTGACCCGTTCATTTAATTGTACTTGAAATGTTAAGATTCACTGTGGTGATGCTATGTTTTTCCCCTCTAAATTATGATAGATGTCCTTCCTATGGATATTCAGGAGCTGTTATGGATTTGAGAATTTAATTGTACTATGCTGATTCTAGTTTTGAGCTGTTGTTTTTCAACTTGATTATGAGAAATCGCTGATGTATATAAGAATATTCGTGAAGAAATTGGGGGTATTCGGATAATAAAGTTTTGAGGGTGCGTACGAAAATGTTTTTCATGGAAAATAAGTGGGTTTTCTACTTGTTTTTTTGTGTTCAATTGGTAGATAATAATAATTTAGACAAATACTATATAAGGTGGGGCGGGGAGGTAGGTGTATGGGATGGTAGGGATGAGAGCTAAGGGGAGTGCGGTGAAGATGAATTCTATTAGAGGGTGGAGAGGATAAGATCAATGTGAATTGTGGAATGTCTCTAGTAGAGTTTGTTTCCCTAAACATTATTAGGTGAGAAGTTTGATTTTTAGAAAAAATATTTGACCAATCGAAGTTAAAAAAAAATGGAAGACATTTCATTCCACGACCCATGTTGTACAGTTCCTCCATGATTGAAAAATCACTATTGAAGGTGACTCAACTGCTAGTCTGCTACACAAGTTACTCCGCTGTTATATCTCCTCAATCTAAAAGAGACGAGGTTGAAAGGAGAAAATTTGTGAAAACGTAATTCTTTACGATTTGAATTAAAGAAATTAACTAGTTGAATACTCCAACTTTCGTTTTGATTATCTAGACTTCTTAACTTGATTTAAGTTGACTTTATAAACGATGTCCGATAGATCTAATGTGTGAGTTGCACTCACCGATAGCATGACGAAGTAACAAATAAAAAATTGAAAACATGTACGTATGTAAACTCATTGATACATTCGCGCGGTTTTGGAAAATATTAGTGCACTAATAAGTTTCAAACAATTAATAACAAGAGGACTAAGTGACGAATGAATGAAGATATATAGTCTGAAATTTGCGGAGTTATGGTGGGAGATATAATATAGCGATATACTATTAGAATTCATGTGCCTTTTGAGTAGTGGCGGAGTAAAAAAATATTGTGTTATTTAGGGTTTGAATCTGGAACTACTTCATTTAAATGAACACTCATTATCATTATGCCTATGTGTCCATGCTATGGCTACGCCCTTGCTTTTGAGGTTAGCGATTAGAGTAATGGAACAAGAAAAAGATGATAAAACAATCGTGCTTAAAGTCCTGAAATATATCTCTCAAAACCTTTAAATTTTGAAATTGTTTTAATTCTCTTAACATTATAAAAAAAGATGAGAGAAAAATACAAAGTAGGAAAAAAAATGGTTACACATCAATTGAACTTTTCATCGTCGCTTGACAATACATTTTTTTTTTTAAAATACAATAAGATAAAAATAAACATATAGTTGCACTAGAACACACAAAACCAAAATGTGGAAGATTTGGTGAAAAGCATAACACGTGATCAAGGCTGTTGTTGGGCATCAATATATCCAGCATCAACAAGAACTTTCTCTCTTTTAGCCAACTCTACATCTTCATCCACCATCATCTTCACCAGTTGCTCAAATCCCACTTTTGGTTTCCAACCCAACACTTTTGTCGCTTTGCTTGCATCTCCTTTCAGATTATCAACTTCCGTTGGCCGGAAATATCTCTTGTCAATCTCCACATGTTCCTTCCAGTTCAATCCAACGTACCTAAATGCTACTTCTAGAAACTCCTCTACAGTATGTGAATCCTCCGTTGCCACAACGTAGTCGTCTGGTTTCTCTTGCTGCAGCATCATCCACATTGCTTCTACATAGTCTCCAGCAAAGCCCCAGTCCCTTGACGCCTGTAAATTCCCCAAAAACACCTTGCTCTGTAACCCGATTTTTATCCTCCCTACAGCCCGGGTTATCTTCCTCGTCACGAAATTTTCACCCCGACGAGGAGACTCGTGGTTGAAGAGAATCCCATTGCACGCGAATATCCCGTACGCTTCGCGGTAATTCACTGTGTACCAATGCGCCGAGCATTTGGAAACGGCGTAAGGAGATCTCGGGTGAAACGGAGTAGATTCCGATTGCGGTGGCGGCGTAGATCCGAACATCTCCGATGATCCGGCTTGGTAATACTTGACGTGAGACCTTCCGGTAGCGGAGATGTGAGAACGAAGCGCCTCAAGGAGGCGGAGGGCGCCAGTAGCCACCACGTCGGCGGTGTAATCAGGGATCTCAAAAGAGACGGCGACGTGAGATTGAGCAGCTAGGTTGTAAATCTCATCAGGGAGGATAATATCGAGCCAGCGTCGGAGAGAACTAGCGTCGGAGAGATCAGCATAATGGAGCTTCATTTTGGCTCTGTAGGTGTTATGAGGATCGATATAAATGTGATTGATGCGTTGGGTATTGAAACTGGAGGATCTACGAATAAGGCCATGGACTTCATAGTTTTTGCTAATGAGTAATTCAGTGAGATAGGAACCATCTTGGCCTGTGATGCCAGTGATCAGTGCAATTTTAGATCTAGGAGAGTTGCCGGTGCTGCCATTTTCAGCTGCCATTTTTGTTGCCAGTTTGGATCAGCTGATTTTGAGACAAATGGGGGTATTTGTTTGTTTGTAATGAGAGGCAAATTTTAGAATTCCAAAATATCGCACTATATATAACACCAATGAAGACTATTAAAAAATTACTACGTATACATAAAAGATGGAGTCAATGTTCTAAAAGAAAAAATGAGAAGTTATTTATTTTCCTTTTTAATGAATTGAAATAAGAATTGTAAGATTTTATGTTCAAATTTGAAGCAAAAACATTATTTTTTTTCCATCCATTGTTATTTATTTTTCATATTAAAAATAAATATTCAACCAAAAGATATTTTATCCTTAAAGGACTATTTAATTGGGGAACAAAATATTTCACCACATGGAATTAAAATAACACAATAATGTCGTCTTTTACTAGTATAGGAAATGTTTAATATATTTTGAGAATTTACTTTTCTTTATGAGAGGTGGTTGAGTGAAGACTAGAAAAAATTAGAACACATAGTCAATGTTCTAAAAGAAAAAATGAGAAGTTATTTCTTTTCATTTAATGAATAAAAAATGACCTTCGTTGTTCTAGCTTCTGTTTTTTTTCCAGGAATTTTCAGTATAAGAAAAAAATAATCACATCCAATGATCTAGTGATTAACAAATTGGGTTGAAAATTACGAGGTTTTAAAATTCTGATAGAAGTAAAAATATTATTTTCTCCGTCCATTTTTATTTATCTATTATATTAAAAATAAGTATTCAACTGAAAGATAATTTATTACTTAAAACTCGTTTGATTGGAAACACGTTATCCTCAATATGGAATAAAAATAACACTACATTCCAAATTATTATTCATAGGGAGTCTTTACGTAGTAATGGATAGGGTTGTTCACAACTTAACTGAAATTGATAACCTGAATAAGGAAAAAATTATTCATTTATCAATAATGAATTATGATTTAGCGGTTTTGGTAACAATTTTTTTTATTATCGGATTATCGGTTCTTGATGGTTTGAAGTTTCTTCTTAACAGGTTAATCGATACCCGATAGTAAATTAATAAATTATATTTATATCATTTGGTATATAAAATCATTGACATAGGGTTTAGTTTCATACTTTAATTCCTAATTGTCTCAAACATTCGATTGTCCTACAATGTATCAATGCTTGATTTTGAGCAAGATGTAATTTGTCAATTCATGTGCCTGGTTCATTGAGTTTGTTATCTTGTTTTTAAGTGATTTTCATTTTTTTGGGTCACATCTTAAGGGTCAAAATGATAATTAAATCGATAATGATCGATAAATCAATATCTTAATAATTCTATAAGGATTTAACATATCACAAGCCGATAATCGATAAACTTCAAAACTAAACCAAACCAGCGACTAGGAAGTGTAGTGCTTAATTTAAGGGGTCTATCTGTATCTAAGTAATAGTATAAGGGTATTTTAGTGTAATTAACCCTAAATGAAAAATAAAAGGACGAGGACGTAATGAGGTGCAGGCGGTAAATATGAAAAGGCGTGTAACGATCTTTCAAGCAGCAGCCAAAATACAAATATGCTTCCTCCCGCAGCGGCGCAACGTCTTCGACTCTCTTATTTTTTCCACTCCCCAAACAACGATTTCTAGGGTTTTCATTCCAATCTCTGTTCCTCCCGATTTCTACTCTCAATTTTTTTTTTACTGAAACAACATTCCGATTCTTACTCGCATTATCAAGTTGATAATCTGAAGGCGATTTTGAGTGTTGTAGGGTAAATCAAGTGTCCGATAAAGTGATTTCTTTATGGGTTTGAAGAAAGCAAAAACGGTTTCTTGGGCTTCTGGACCTAATCTTTGTCAGGTATACATTACTCATTGAGTCTGTTTACTCTGTTTAGTGCTCAATTTTTTATGTTTATTTTTAATTTTTTATATACGACTATGGATTAAATTCACTGTTTCTTGTATACATAGATATAGATGTGTGTCTGTTGCAGAAAATCACAAAGATGAGTTTTCTTGCAGAATCCTACTGCATTGCCTTTTTTTTATTTTTATGGTTTACCGGTTCTTATGAGTTCTGTGATTTTTTTTGTTAGATTAGATTGGGGAAAGAAGATACTAACTAGTTTTGCTGCTTTGTCTTACCTGTATTATTTTCTGCTTGATGTTCTGTTATGAATGAGTGGCTGGAATTTAGGAAAATCTGGAAAGGGAAATTATGGATTTTGATACTACTAAAAGATTAGGACAAAAGAGTAAAGAAAAAGATCAAGATTAGGTAAATTCTGAAACCTAGCGGGAATCAGTTAATGGCCTTGAGATTATGTTTGATGAGTACCTATATGTTTCTTATATTGGATGTAGACAAGAGAAACTCCGGGTGACCAAGAATTGCTTTGAACAGTGTTAGGGTTTGTAAGGGTAGCAGCCATTGATTTTCTTTTCGAGCTTTGACTTAGTTGTTTACCTTTTCGTTGAAAGGTACCTATCACGCCCTAAATCCATGTGACTGGCACACGAAACACTAACTTACATGAGTGGACCAAACTCGTATAATGCTCCCCCCGACCACATTTGAACCAAATGTGGAAACATTTGAAAATTTTATACATTCTCAA